CTAGCTGCTGCGGCCGCAGCCGCCGCCGCCGCTGGCTTCGAGCCCCGAGGAACTCCTCGGCTGTGCGGGGATCCAACACCACTACCACCCACCATCCACCCACCGCCCAACTGGCAAACCTGGGCCTCAGACAAACCCGGGTTCAGTCCAGGCGCAGCCACTGCCAGCTTTGTAAGAGTGACCTCGGGTACAGCCTTCACCCTCTCTAGTCTCCAACTCATCTGTAAAGGGGGGACAATTACACCTATATCACACCAGCTGGTTGGGAACCCCAAAGGAGGCAACTGGGCCAAGCTCCTCGCAGAACCCAGTCCTCTCTAATTCCAAGGCCGCTGTTCTCCGCCACCAGACAAGAGGCGCTGTCATTGGAAACCGAACTCCCAGCCACATCCAGACCCCCCGAGTGCAATCCGTTCCTCTGTGTTTTCTTACACCCCCACCCAGGAGTGGAGCGGCCCTCAGAGTGCAGCGCCCAGGCCAGGAACACCACCCTGCCCTCTCCCCTCCGCGGTCCAGACCCCCCACCCACCATGGCCACGGCCTGTAGCAGATGGAACTTGGAGCCCCCAAGCCGGGTGGAAAGTCATTTGGGCTTTTCTAGGGTGTTGGAATACCTATGACCACCGAGTAGGAGCTGCCATCAGCAGCATCTCAGCCACACTGGCTGCCTCCGAGCTCAGCCGGACTGCAGCCTCGCTGAGGCCTGCAAATCTGGAGGCTGAGCGCCCCCTCCCTCCCAATCAGAGGAAGGACCGAAGATGCCCAGCTGCTCCCCCAAGGCAAAAATGGGGCTAGCCCGGTCTGGTTTATCAACCAGAAGGCAGAAAGAAGCAAGGTGCCAGAAAGGCCCCCGGGATGACAGACCTTCTGCCTGCGTAGGGCTTTGACCAGAGCCCAGCTCTCTGCTGCTCCCAAGCACAGCCTCTGTGCCCTTGGGTTTCCACCGCTTGCCCTGTCCCAGAGCCTGTGATCCCTGGGCAGGAAGGAAGTGCTCTGCCCTCTGGGCAGTCTGGGCGAGCCCCTTCTGCCCAGCGGCCCTGCGCCAGGCTGGACCCACCTCTGTGGTTTTGCTTGTATCTTCCACCAGGCACACGTGTTCTGGTCCTCTGTCTTTTCCCATCACCACAGCCTTCAGCTACTTGCCAAATTCTCAGCCCAATATCTCCTACTTGGTGAAACCTGCCATGGCTTTGTGCACTGAATAGTTATTTGTCAGATCAGGGCCTGGTTTTTATCTCCACACCTGCCGGTCTCCTGCCTGAGGCCTCAACCAGGCCTTGTGGGCCTGACCGATGCCAGGCCTGGCGGAAGTTCTGGGGAGCTCTTGAACGAATGCTCCATTGGTTGGTTGATTAAATGAATGGACAAGAGACGTCATTAAGCCAGTGAAGGATTTAACACCCTTTACTCCCCAGCACAGCCCTCGCAGCTTTCCTTCCCTGCCTAGTGACAGCACTTCCTCCAGCGAGCCCCACCTGGGCCAGACAGGGCTGGGGGGAGGGAGAAGGGCTCCTCGCCTTTGGGGACATCCTGTCCATTGGCCTGGTGCTGGGGAGAGGCAGAAGCCACCGCATTCTTGCTGGTCGGAGGCGGCAAGAGGAGGCTGAGAGGAGGGTCTGCATGTTGCTCCCTGGTGGCGGAGCCGGTCGTCTGCTGGGAGGGAACTGGGTCAAGCGGTCGTCAGAAACCATCTGCTCGAGAAGCCGGGATTACCGCCCTCCGCTGATCCCCCGCCTGTGGGAGCTAAGGGTGTAAATTGAGTTCTTCCAGATCACCTTGTGCTTTGGTGCAGGGAGCCCCCGTCCCCTGTGGAGGGGCAAGGACCTGTTCCTGTTGCTTCGAAGCTTCATTTAGCACCGGGCTCAGTTCTCCTTGTACTGGTGACCTCAGCCTTCAATCTCAGCCAGGGATGTGACTGCACCTGTCAGTTTTGAACACAGTAATGGACATCAATGCTGCAGCTGACGCCCTGGACATGGGCTACAGAGCCGGGCCACCACACCCACAGTGCCAGCTCCCCGCCGCCTTCCAGGAGCACAGGCCCAGTGGGGAAGGCAGGAAGAAACAGGACATTGTGGATGTGGGGGCACGGACCACGAAGAAGGCTTCCTCGGGGAGCTCAGAGCACTTGCTCTTACAAGTTTTTTGGCATCACCCATAGGTAAGTGTCAGTTTGCGGAGGATGAAAATGTCCAAAGTGACAAAGCAAACCATAAGAATGAGCCTCGTTTGCCAAGAGTTGAGAACTCAGGTACCGTTCCCGGTGACATGGCGTCTGCAGGGTGTGGGGTGAAGAGGAGTCCTTCTCCCATCAGTGGGCGCTCACGGCCTGTTTGGCAGAGCTGGTTGGCTCGGGACCTGCTGTTGCCTTTGGCACCACTGTCCCAGAAACTGCTGTTGCCAATCACCGCCGCCCATCGCGCCCCTCCGGAACAGCTCACTGAACGGAAGGAGCTTCTTACCAGACCAGGTGAGCTGTCCTACCCACCTGGCAGCCCAAGGCATGGAGAGGGACAAGCCGGGAGCCAGGTGTGAAGGAGGATCCAGCGGAGGGGGCCCCGAAGGGCAAGGGGCCAACCTGACCTTGTAAAAGCCCAGACACCAATGCCTCAAGTGCTGCCTGGTTACAGCAGTTGAGGTCACAGAGGCAAGTCCTTGAGAAAGTGGGCGTGAGAGTGTCATTTTGATAAGACGGCATATTTCTCACCAGGGCAGCTGGA